ACTATATAATACAAATACATCTCTTCAATCTGCAAAATTTTCTGCCTGCTGTCATCTGAATTACACTCACCAGAGATAGAGTCCTGTCCAGGTCAAAACTATCGAGGTGCACTGATTCATGAAAATTACAATCATCGAGTATGATGGCGCCTGAACCAGACGAACTTCTATAATCTACCACAAAGAGCAGACACAGCAGAATGATAAATCGTTAGTTTGAAATAGAGAAATAGTAGGTTAAACCAATATTGCCAACATTCATATAAAAATAATAGTTGCAATTGAGAATCATAGCTAAATATCATATGCAACTAATCCTATTGAAAAATGGCTGTCCCTTGTTCCCATATGTAATGGGGTAAGGGGGAGGTAATAGTAGGCTGCCCCCAACACTAGGTTGAGAGCAACTTCCATAGAAGACCTCCAAATTATAAAATGCCCTCCATGAGACTCGATCCCACGACCTCAAGGTTAAGAACCTTGTGCTCTACCAACTGAGCTGGATGGTCATCTCCAACTAATCCTATTGAAACAAAGTTAGAAAAAATTTCACCAAGCAAAAAGTAATTGAGCACATAGAAATAGCGCATATTGTTAAAATTATACTATTCCCACATATCTTCAACCGTCCGCAATGAAAACTTGGAAGGCAACACCTCTATGGAAAGACAACTCTAAATATAATATACATATAGATATGAATGGGTGAAGGCAGTACCATAGATTGATCCGCCTCCTCTTCCTATGCTGAGGTCTTCATTAAGAGCTAGTCGAATTTCTGGATTTCCTGACAAATAACTTTTCATTTGAATAGTGCCATCAATCTCGGAAGTCAGTATATACCCCTGTTTCAAATATCGTTGAATTGGTTAAGCAGTTCATTTGATTGTGCACGACATTATGGAACACGTATATGGACAGCATTTAAAAAAAAGTCTTTAACTGAAAATGAACAACGGGTGTGGGAGAGAGAGAATAAAATGTTAGTTATTTCACACTATTTTGTTTAGAAAGAGAGAGAAAGAACGAACATATAGGTAAAAATGTTTTACGGGAAAAAAAGATTATAGTTCAACTAATCCTAATCCACAAAAAGGTTAATGAGACCAACTTTGTCTGTACACCAACTCAACCAATGACCAATAATTGTATGTGTTAGATGATAAAATGTCAAATTAAGAAAAAGGAGTTACTTACACTAGAGCTAAATGTTACACTAATTTTCTCAATTATATCCACAAAAATTTCCTCTCTTTTACGACCTCCAGGCTCATTTGCTACAACAGATTTTGTAACAGCTGTGCCAGGCATCCTTTTGGTTCCTTGCTGCATACATCCAACATTGACAAAATGAATTACTTCACGAATGCATTTTGATAAAATAAGAGAGTACCCTTTATATGAAGGTTGATAACCAGGTAGTCTCATCATACCATAAAGATTGCAGCTGGGCCAAGAGGCTGCAAACGTGCGGCATCAACCACAATTGGCTCATTAAAAACATAGGACTTCAGAACTTCAGTAGAGGTTGTTTGCACATAACCGAAGTCCTAGTGAAAAAGGAAAAAAAATAGCAGGATCTGTTAAAATCTTTTCATAAGAACAATTGCATATCTTTAGCTAAGTTAAAAAAGGCTTAAGCATATTTCATTGAAGAGAAAGGTTAAATTTTCTGATGTACAATTTGATTCTAAAGTGCAGTCTATCATAATCTCATATTGACTTCTTGAGCAAAGCCATAATTCAGTAATCCCTTGGTAGTTAGTTAAGAGTAGCAAGCCTTTAATCAAATATATAAATACCGACTGAAATAGTTTAGTATGAAAAGAGCTTACAATGACTTCGTCAAGCAACTCATATACAAGAACAAAGTTTTTCCGCAGTGAATCTTCACTTAAAACCCCTAAATAATCTTTAATAACACGAGCAACCCTTTGTAGAAGTTCCAGGACAAGAGATGGTGACACGTTAACTCTTGTGGTCGCAACAAACAACAGCCCAACAACCTTCACATGGAAGTAGTTCACACCATCCACATTCTATCAATGGAAAAAAAATGATAAAAAAGTATTAGAGCACTGCACCAGCTTGTATGCTGAAACAATCAAGTAAAATGTGCATTGGATTATACCAGTCATTGGTTAAAATAAAAAAATAAGAGGTGATTAAATCAATCCAAAAACTGAGCATATCCATTTATTGCATACAATTTTTTCAGTCGACATAAAAGCATACGCCTGATATTACATTCTTTAGTAATAGAATACCTACAAAGACAGGGGGTGCCTCCTCTTGTCCATCCTCTTTCCAGAACTTCACTTTCCGGAAGAAAATCTCTGCACTTCCTTTTGCTACTTCACCTCGATCTGCAGTAACAATCATTCGATCAGTATCATATCTTAGGCTGTAAACATATTTGCATTCAATAGAATCAAACCACAAGTATAAATCAAAATTATAAATATAATCAATAATTATGTTGCATTAGGTACATGCTTAAGTGCCAATTGTGAATTCAAATAAAAGTCAAGAAATTTCCGCAGGCCTCATGAATTTCAGTATCCAGAAATTGATATATAGCTTCCAATCCGATTCCTTTTGACTTTACAAAAACATAAAATGTAAAATCAATTCAAAGATTAAGTCATTAGTTTATCAGTAAAGAAGAACGGGAAGCTCATACTAAAGGGTGATATCTAAGGAAGTACTGCAATTATCCTCTTTGCAAAGGCATCCTTCCCCCTGGCAGCAGGAGTTGAAATGGGAAATTACAAAACTGATAGGGAAGGCTCTCATTACCATTATTTGATGTGTACTTGATATGGAGGGAGAGGAATAATAGGGAATTTAAAAACAAGCAGAGAACTGAGCAAGAGCTGATCGGCAAGATAAAGGAAATGGTGACAATTAGATTGAAAGATGCTAGAATCAACATAACCTTGTACAGCATGGGTAATTAGACAAATTGTATAGACAGGAGAATACATGCATGGTTCTTTGGAACAGTTTTGCATCAGGGATGGACCGAGGGCGGGGTGAGGGCAGTCACACCATGAAAAATTAAAACTATTATATATTTTAGATTTTCCACCCTGGAATTTTATAAATTCAACCCCAAATATAAAATCATGTGTCGATCCCTGCTCTGCATGATTGTAGCATATAATTACTTACTTGGATAAACAAAAAGAACAAAATTATCCAGAAAGAAAAAAACTGAAAGCTGATCTAGATGACTTTGAGAACCATGGTTGAAAAAAAAAGGCAAACAGAAACCTTGAAAGGTAAGTTAACATCAATTATACTTCAAATTGTAGCATTGGAGGACTATTTTACATGAAATTTTTTCCATCCAATTGAACAGAGCAAGAATCGAATATGAAATAATTCAGATCTAAAAGATCAATTATCACACATTATTGAGAACAGAAATTCAAAAACAAAGATCTCATTCCAATCCATATATCGCGATCTTCCGATGAGAATAAAGCATAAAAAACAGAAAATGAAATTTAGATCCAAAGAGAAAATAAGAAGGGGAGAGAAGGGGGACTGACAATCGCGAAACACAATGTTGTCGCCTCGCTGAGAGAGAACGAAGAACTGGGAGATCATGGTTTTCGGTTTTCTTTCGACTCGTCTCCTCCGATTTGCTTCGCTCTCTAAATTGGCTTGTGATATTGATTTTGCTTTGTTTCTGCGCACTGCTGCCTCGATATTTCCTTTTTACTCCTGGTTTTGCTTCTTCTAATTTTTTCCACCGCCTTGAATTTTTAGGATTATTATACAAGTTGGTACTTGAACTTAGCAACTTTTCTCAAATTAGTATATGAACCTTTTTTTCTCAAATTGGTATCTGAAATTGGAAATAATTCTCAAATTGGTACCTAAACTTAGAAATTTTCTCAAATTGGTACTTGATGGTGATGTGGAATTTCACCAACCCATCAATATGGTACTTAATGATGTCATCATTGTGATCGCTTAACACCATATCAACAACTTGATTAGTTGAGATACCAAGATAATACAAGTAACAATTTGTGATTTTTTTCCAAGTTCAATTTCCAATTTGAAATATAAAAAAAATCAGATACCAATTTGATAAAAAGTGCAAAGACCAGGTATCAATTTGTATAAAAGCCATTACTTTGACCCCATAAGGATTTCAAAATTTTATTTACACATCTCATAATTTAAATATATTCCTTTATCACCTAGGAGAAATATTTATGTGACAATAATATGTTCTGTAATTGCGCTTGCAATAGAAGTTGGCAGTCCTAGCCCAGAAACTTGGATGAAGATTGCGTGCAAAGCATAAAATCCCTCACATTTCACATTGGAGTATGCCTTGAGTTTTGTTCTCATAAATTGGTTCTAGTAATTGTACTGGTTCGATATAATGTTTGAACTTTAAGTTGAACTTTGGCTAATAAGGACTAAATTGAATTATTAAAGCTTTAACGAGATTAAAATCAAATTCGACCGACCGTGGAAAAGACCCTTGTCTCCTCACTTTGACCCTTTATATCGAGTCCAATTAGATCTGGAGTTGAACCCAGAATCTTACTACCATTCTAGTCATCGAGCATTAATTAGGTGTTAAATCTTGTATTGTTATTTGGTTAAAAATATAGTAAAGTGCAACGTTAAAATACGTTACAGTGTGGAAGATCCAAGGGTAGTAGCAACATGTAAGAAGTGAATAAATTCTGGGAAAATCAGAATTCAGCAACAAGGCAACCGTCAGCACCAAAGTTGTCGACCCTTGACTAAAATCCTTCCCCTCTCTTCATCACTGCTTCCGTGGAATCAAGCGTCCATTTCTCAAATGTACAGTTTAGAAAATCATAGTATCCACCGTGAACAAAAAGCCCCTTTCTTCACCCTCTCTTCTATCCATGGATATGTTTGCAAGTTCAACAGCGACCGGTTTATAGATTCCTGCCACGAATTCAATGCATTTAGTCTATACTACGAAGTTTCTGGTGCCAAATTCTGGGAAAATAGTGCTGACTTTCTCACACAGTCGGCATTGTTGATCGAAGCTAAGGTGGTTTGCTGCAGATTCTGTTCTGTTCTTGGCGATTCTCCCATTAGAAACCCAAGTTTTGATGAAACTGCTAGACAGAACAATTAAAGGCGCAATGAGAAAGCTGAGGCTGAAAATTTTGAAACGGCTTCATTAGGCTAAAACAGAGAACATCATCATCACCTGGAGTCGCCATTATCTCGCATGCTCATAAGTGTTTGAATTCCACCGCAGCAACTGTGACCGATGATTAATATGTTTTCAACCTGGTGATGACAAAAAAAAAAACATTTTGTACATCCAAATTAGAAAGTTTCCCTTGCCTAATTCTGACCTTACATCTCTAGTCATTTACCTCAAGAGTTTTTACTGCAAACTCAAGGGTGTTAGGAATTCAAACTCAATGTCGGCAAAAATATTTTTCAATTGGTTGAAACGTGGCAGCAACAAAGCATGGCAACAATAAAAAATATTATCACATGGAAGGTAACTTGGCAGCACATGCAAAGCTAGATTGCAAAATTGAATTTACACGGCATGAAGACAAGAGAAAGTGAGGCGGCAGAAAAATTGAGAAGCAGCTAGAGCTTCTAATAAGTCGGTTTAGTTTTCCTATATATATGTGTAATTTGTAGCAAAGGGAGTGTGAGTAAGTGAAAGAAAAATACAAGTGAGAAGTGAGGAAAAATTAGAGAAAATAGAGAGAGCTTAGCAAAGCTATATTTGTGAGTTTGTAAACTAGCAGCAGCTAGTATTGTAATATTGAGGTAGTGTCATTGTAACGTATTTTGTTTCGTATCAATAAAAAGTTCGAGTTATAAATTACCGTGAGCTCATCTACGCTTCCAACAAGTGGCCTCAGAGCTTGGTTCGAGTTTAACGTGGTGGAGAAGATGGCCAACATGATTCAACCTCAAATCCCGAGATTGACAAAGATGAATTATGACAATTGGAGCATTCAAATGAAGGCGTTACTAGGCTCCCAAGATTGTTGGGATATCATCGAGGATGGTTACATCGAGCCTAAAAATGCAGCAGCAGAAGCAGCCCTGGCAAATGAAGAAAAGAAGGTTTTGAAGGAATCCCGGAGAAAAGATAAAAGAGCATTGTTCTTTATTTTTCAAGGAGTAGACGAATCTACCTTTGAAAAAATTTCTGATGCGAAGACCGCAAAATAAGCGTGGGAAATTCTGCAAAAATCTCTACAAGGTGCCGAAAAAGAAAAGAAGCTACGCTTACAAACTCTCAGAGCTGAGCTTGAGATGTTAAAAATGAAAAATACATAAAACATCGATGATTATATTAGCCATATGAAAGCGGTCGTAAATGAAATGAAAAGAAATGGCGAATCACTCGATGATGTTAGAGTGTGGAAAAAAAATTGCGGTCATTGACAAGAAATTTGATTACGTGGTGGTGGAAATCGAAGAATCAAAAGATTTATCCCAAATATCGATCGATGAGGTTGTGGGTTCACTTCAAGCCCATGAGCAGAAAATGAAACAAAATAAAGATTCAGAAAATTTGGAGCAAGCTCTACAAAGCAAGATGAATGTCAACGAAAGAGAAGCTAGCAGCAGCTACACACGAGGTCAAGAAAATTGTGGTGGTTATCGTGGAAGATACAAAGGAGGACGAGGAACTCGTGGACGTGGTGGTCGATCATATGGCACCGATCAAAAAAGTGAAAGCAATCAAACACAGGTCATGGACGAGGATTTCGAGGACGCAGACGAGGCATATATCAGCAAGGAAATAAATTCCAGGTACAATGTTATAATTGCAATAAGTATGGTCATTATAGTTATGAGTGTAGATCTGCTCCTAAACAAGAAGAAAGAAATAACGTAGCAGCAGCTAAAGAAGAAAAAAATTGAAAAATCTCATGTATTCCTCTCTTATAAAGGAAATGAAGAATTCAAGAAAAATATTTGGTATCTTGATAATTGTGCCAGCAACCATATGTGTGGACAAAAAGAGTTATTTGTGAAATTAGATGAAACAGTCCATGGGCGAGTAACTTTCGGAGATAACTCGCATACATAACTAAAATGAAAGGTGAATTCATGATTACTCAGAGAAATGGAGAAAAGAAATACATTTCAGATGTTTATTATGTATCTGCTTTGAAAAGCAATATCATCAGTCTTGGTCAATTCCTGGAAAAAGGATCTGAAGTGCAGATGAAGAATCATTCGCTTGCCATCAAAAATAAAGAAGGAAAATTGATAGCCCAAGCTGATATGACTCGAAATCGTCTTTTTACAATTAATATCGAGTCGGGAGAAGTCAAGTGCATGAAGACCGCGATCAAAGATGATTCATGGCTGTGGCATCTAAGATATGGACATCTTGGATTTTCTGGTTTGAAACTGTTATAAAAAACAAGCATGGTGAAATGACTAACAGAGATCAACCCTCCAAATCAAATATGTGAGGCTTGCATCAAAGGAAAGCAACATAGACAAAACTTTGAAGTTGGTAGATCCTGGCGTGCTCGGAAACCGCTGGAGATAGTACACACAGATATAGCCCGTCCTTTTGATATACCATCGCTTGGCGGTAACAAGTACTACCTAACTTTTATTGATGATTTTAGTAAAAAATGTTGGATATATATCTTGAAAGAAAAGTCAGAAGTGCTGGAAAAATTGAAAGAATTCAAAGCAACGGTGGAAAAACAAAGCGGTCAATATTTAAAGATACTCAGATCAGATAGAGGAGGCGAATATACATCAAAGTTATTTGAAGAATTCTGCAAAGAGCATGACATCATCCATCAGCTGATAGCCAGATACACGCCACAACAAAATGGAGTTGCAGAAAGAAAGAACCGCACAATCTTGGACATGACAAAAAGCATGATAAAAGGTAAGCAACTACCGAGAAATTTTTGGGCTGAAGCAGTTCGATGTGCAATTTACCTATTGAACAGATGTCCAAAAAAAACGTGAAGTATATGACGCCAAACGAAGCATGGAGTGGTCAGAAACTAAGAGTTGGACACCTTAAGATTTTTGGATGCATCACATATGCCCACGTTCCTGAACAGACCAGAAAGAAGCTTGATGACAGAGGAGAAAATGTATTTTCATTGGCTATGATGAAAGAAGCAAAGCTTACAGATTATATAATCCTCTTACCAAGAAGATAATAATTTCAAGAGATGTAGAGTTCGATGAAGCAGAATATTGGAGATGGAGCAAAGAGGAAAAGAAAGTTGAAGGGCTATTTTTTAATGAAGATAAAAATGATGATCTTATCAATCAAGATGAACAAGCTGATGATCAAGGTCCTCAACAAAATCTACCATCTTCGTCAAGCAGCAGCAGAGATACCAGCAACATAATAGAAGATTCTGAAGCACATCCCACGGAAGTTCGAAGATCCATAAGAGAGAGAATAATGCCAGAAAGATACAACGATTATGAATTAAATAATGTTTCACTTTTCTGTTTACTTGTGAATAGTGATCCAATTACATACGAAGTAGCGGTTGAAGATGACAAATGGAGGAATGCAATGGATGAAGAAATTGCATCAATACAAAGAAATGATACATGAGAGCTAACAAGCCAACCAGAAGGTCATAACCCAATTGGAGTAAAATGGGTTTACAAGACTAAGACCAATAAAGAAGGAAAGGTCGAGAAGCACAAAACGAGGCTAGTTGTCAAAGGCTATAAGAAAAGATAAGGAATAGACAATGATGAAGTATTTGCTCCAGTAGCAAGGATCGAGACCATCCGACTTCCACAGTAGTTGCAGCACAAAAAGGATGGAAAATTTATCAAATGGATGTGAAGTCAGCATTTTTAAATGTATACCTAGATGAAGAAGTTTATATTGAGCAACCACCTGGATACATTAAAAAGGGACATGAAGACAAAGTTTACCGATTGAAGAAATCTTTATATGGTCTGAAGCAAGCCCCGAGAGCATGGAACATGAGAATTGATGAATATTTCCAGAGAAATGGGTTCATGAAGAGTCCGTACGAGCATGCCTTATACACAAAGAAAAATGAAGACGGTGATATCATGATCATGTGCTTATATGTGGATGACATGATTTTCACAGGAAATAATCCAGGTATGTTCAATGATTTTAAGAAAGCTATAACTAAAGAATTTGAAATAATAGATATTGGAGAAATGTCATACTTCCTTGGAGTTGAAGTGAAGCAAATGCAATAAGGACTATTTATATCACAAAAGAAGTATGCAGAAGAAATTTTAAGAAAATTCAGAATGGAAGATTACAAGCCAGTAGCCACTCCAGCAGAACCAGACATCAAATTAAGTGTGAATTCAACAAGAGAACAAGTGAATCCGACGTTGTTTAAAAGCATCGTTGAAAATCTAAGGTATCTGACTATCACACGACCAGACATAACATATGCTGTGGGATTGGTAAGCAAATTCATGGAGAATCTGAAACAAGATCATTGGATTGCAGCAAAAAGAATCCTCAGATATGTCAAAGGTACAACAGGTCATGGCTTATTCTACACGCATTCAGAAAATTCGAAGCTGGTTGGTTATTCTGATAGTGATTATGTGGGGGACTTAGACGATCGGGAAAACACAACTGGATATCTATTTCATATCAGCTCTGTAGCATTTTCATGGTCATCAAAGAAGCAACAAACGATAGCTCTTTCAACATGTGAAGCAGAATACATAGCCGCAGCAACGTGCACTTGCCAAGCAATGTGGTTAAAGAATATTTTGAACGAGCTAAATTTGGCACAAGAAGAACCAATTACAATCTATATCGACAACAAGTCTATAATTTCCCTTGCTAAGAATCCAGTCTCTCATAGCCGAAGCAAGCATATTGATACAAAGTATCACTTTATACGAGAGCAGGTGAAGAACAAAAATGTGGAGCTAATTTACTGCAGAACTGAAGATCAACTAGCAGACATTTTTACAAAACCATTAAGAGCAGATATATTCAACCGATTTAAAAAAAAGCTTGGAATGGAAAGTCGAGTTTGAGGAGGAGTGTTAGGAATTCAAACTCAATGTCTACAAAGATATTTTTCAGTTGGTTGAAACGTGGCAACAACAAAGCATGACAACAATAAAAAATATTATTACATGGAAGGCAACTTGGCAGCACATGCAAAACTAGATTGCAAAATTGAATTTACACAGCATGAAGACAAGAGAAAGTGAGGCGGCAGAAAAATTGAGAAGCAACTAGAGCTTCTAATAAATCGGTTTAGTTTTCCTATATATATGTGTAATTTGTAGCAAAGGGAGTGTGAGTAAGTGAAAGAAAAATACAAGTGAGAAGTGAGGAAAAATTAGAGAAAATAGAGAGAGCTTAGCAAAGCTATATTTGTGAGTTTGTAAACTAGCAACAGCTAGTATTGTAATATTGATGTAGTGTCATTGTAACGTATTTTGTTTCGTATCAATAAAAAGTTCGAGTTATAAATTATCGTGAGCCCATCTACGCTTCCAACAAAGGGCAGCATTGGTTTCGGATGGTCCTTTCTGCCGAAAAGAGAGAATAATGAAACCTATTACTATGTTTTTCCATGCTTTAGTGAGTGATCTACTTCGGTTTTTCAGTTGTATATGATAAGGATTTAAGGACTTGAAGGAGAGGAGAGTTTCAATGAAATTGAAGCAGCATGGCTAAATACCTCGAGTGGAGGAACAAGATTTGCCACATTACGGATCATGAAGGCTTCTCCCCGTCGAAATCCAAGGATTGTAGAAGGACACAACCTAGAATCTGCACAAGCAATTACCATAAACTGTTTCTGGATTTGTTAGTTAAGTGGTCAGGGAAAGAGATAAAGTGAGTTTGGTTTATATAACCTTGGGTGTTTGAGCTTCTTTAAGGGTTTGAAAATACTGGAACTCTTCCCTGCTCAAAAAGGAAAATTCATTTCATTTTTCAGGTCATGGAAACCTTCATTTGCAATCTTACTGTTATGATGGACTTACAAAAATTTGTGCTTTTTAAAACTCAGAAACCTCTGTTTCAACTCATCAAACAGGTTTAGCTTTTCCCCAGGATCATTCACATGTGGAAATTCTTCTAGTCCAACGGGATTGCTTGAAGCCTTCAAAGCCGAAACCGAGGACCTGCTGTGTATGGAGAAAGCTATGATCCAAGCAGCTAATACACAAGTACAAATAGCAGAAAATCCAAGGCAAAAATATGTAATGGAATGGTGTCTGGTTATGGAATTTCATTGATTGCAAGCAACCTACAAATTTTCTATTTTAAAGAGGCCCAATGGGTATCTTCACTACAATCTGGGGAGAAAAACAGAATTTTAAAGCCATGTACCAAGAGATCTCCGGTGAAGACGATGACCCTGATTGGATATCGTCGACTTCAATCAATCCCATCTATCCAAGTAAACAATTATCAGAAGTGTAGTGGGGAAAAGGAAGAAAATAAATTGTTTGGCAAAACGCTCCGCCTTTGAACGAAGCCATTTCCTTGGAAAAAGGCGAACACTGCAATGGAGAAGTGTGATTGCGAGCAGTAAAAAGAGTCGAGGGCATCACGTAGTGGCCTTGTCGCTGATACAAGCGATCGAGCTTTACAGCCTGGATTCAAATGATAAGTTTCATCAGACTAAGTGACCTTGAATTTGCGATTATTAAAGATGATAATACTTACGGATAAACCAGGCCATTTCTCTTCCCACCTTGGCATTTGCTACATAACGTGATTTCCTTTAACTCTTTTATTTCGTCTGTCTCATCAGTTCTCCACTTCACGTAAGTTTTCGAATTGTTTTTCTTTTCTTTCCAGGATTGTTGGCATGATTGAGATGGTGACGGGGACAAGCAAGTCAAGCTTATCCAAGCAAATGAAAAAATGGTCCACTTCCCCTCCATTATTCAAAATCATTACTCATGCAAAGTTACAAAGCGGGTGGCTTTGGCTTCATCATATAAAATAATAATATGAAAGGTGGCCTTTTATATTTTAATTTGATTATTTGGTTCTCAAGTTTACATCATTTTCATATGCGTGTGATTTTGCATAGTCTTGTGTCCCATAAACGTATCTCTTGTTTGTTTGGTCAGTTTCCAACACGACTAAACAATCCAAATGCCAGTAGAAGGTTTCATTTGGATATGATTTATTACCAAGCATATTACCTTGTTGGGGTATACGAGGTGAGAGGTTGAATTCTTATAAATTTTAGGTTAAGAGTTATTTTTTCTATGTAGTAGATTCAATATATTATTTTCGTCTTTATGATATTTTTCACGTCAATTTAGTCATCGGAATTATTTAATCGCATCAATATTTAAAATATTTACTATTATTTATGGATTTAAGTTAAAGTTTATGGTTTAAGGGTTATGGTTTAGGGCTTAGAGCTTAGGATGATGTAGTTAAGAAATTTGGAGGACTAAATTGATGCGAAAATACCATAAAGTCGAAAATGATAAATTTAATCTACTAAAGAAATAAAATTAGCTCTTAAGCCTAAATTTTATTAGTAGTTTCTCTTCATATACATTAAATTATTTTTTATAAAATATTTTTAAAATAATGCAATAGATAATTTGATAAATTTTAGGTTAAAATATCTTATTGCTCATTAAAATATAAGGTCAATTCTATTCTAATCATAAAATTTTTATTTTCATGTCAATCAAGTTACATGACGTTAATTAATTAACACATGTCAGTAATAAAAAATGTATAATAATACATCTAATCCTTCATATTTACATATTCAATCAATTTAGTATTCTTTTTAAATTAACTATAAAACTTAGCCCCTTCTCATTTATAAATTCTAACTATCTCATACTTATAAGTGGATCACATACAAAATTATAATGCTGATACTTAATTATCATGCTTAACAGAGAATTCTTACACATATGGTTAACAAACAATAAGAAATAACCAAATAACTAGACAAGCATGAAATCTTTATTATAAATATAAATAGTGTCGTAACCGTCTTTCGGGTGGACCCGTAATTGGGCTTTGACTTAGGAAAATGATTTGGGAGTCGCCACCGATCATTTATTTTATTAAAAATAGGTTGATCGGATACCTTATTTCTTACCTGATCTACATCTTACCAGTGATGTGTCGGATTCGGGAGTCGGTTACAATCAAAAAAGGATTAGCACCCTTGAATTGCCCTTTCGGTACTACGTAATTTCCAGTTGTCTTAATTAAGAAAGTTGTAAATTTACATTAAAAGGTAAAATGACGATCTAAATTACTTACCTCTAACCGTTTTGAAAACGTACCCTCAAAAGAATCAAGAAAAACGTTAGAAAAAAAGGGATGAAGATAAATTGAAAATAAAGAAAGTGAAATAAAAAAAGAGAAAAATAAATAAATAAATAGTAAATAAATACCAAAAGTAAACAATACAATTAACATGTAGATAGTGAAAATGCAAGGAATAAAAAGAAAAAAAATAGAATAAGATAAATAAAGAAAAAAAGATAAATAAATAAAGATAAAGATAAAGGAAATAACAATAAAATGAATAAGCAAAACGAAGAAAAGGTAAAAAAATAAAAATAAATAAATAAAATATACATGTATATATCTATATATAAAGAAATAATAAAAAGTAATATATATATATATATATAGAAAATGGAATATTCTAAAAAATAGTAATGATAAGTAAATAAAAACAAAGGAAAAGATAAATAAATAACCATATATATATTAAAGAATAAATACACATATATAATAAAATATAATATAAAATTCAAAAAATAATTTAAATTAAATAAAAATAAATAAATGAATTAAACTGCTCAGGGACTAAATCGAAAGAACCATGAACTAGAGTTCAAATTTCAAAGCAATTTTAAGGTATGAATTCAATTCGGAGGTCAAAATAGTTCTTTGAAATCAACGAGGGATCAAAAGGGTAGTTTACCCTATTTAAAGCAAAACACGTGGGTTCTGGCGTGTATCTGGGTCGGGTTAACAGGCCGTATAAAGGCCAAAAATTGGCAAAAGATTTAGCCATTTCCTTTATTTTGAACCGAGCCCTCCCCCTTTATTCATTTTCTCTCTTTAATTCATCCAAAAGATGAACAACGCTGACGTGTTCTTGGTGCCCAGAATCCGGCCACCCTAGCGCCGCCTCGTCGCCAACGTTGATCAGCGACGGCCGTCAGTCATCGGCGGAAAAAGTCAAAATTTCTAATTTTTTTCAGAAGATCTCGGTGCCCTCGTTTTAAAAATCTAACTAGTTTCCTAAAAAACAAAGCCTCGGTGTGTAGATCTGGGTTCCAAAACTTCGAAACCCCCTTGTTCATTGGCGTCTTTAGCGTACTTTGGGTAAAAAAAAGGAAGTGAAGCAAACAGACGAGCATGCAAGATAACCATCAAAAGGTAAGAACTTTACCTATTATTCTTTCGAAAATTTACAAAAGAAAAGCTCTGATTTCGCTCAAAATTGCTAGTAATTTTCTGCTTGTATTTCGTATTCACCCAATGTGTACAATAGGTTTACTCTACACTTATTTATAGCAACATAAAAGACTATTTTTAGAACTATTGAGTCCTAATTGAACTCTAACGCTTCTATTTGATGTTGGTTGTTGATGATGAATGAGTTTCGTTCACCGGACGCTTCGGAGATGTTGGAGGTGAGAGACGTGCGCCTTGAAACTCGGAGAGAGACGTGAGGTGTGGGAACCTGGGTTGACTGTTACGGCGCTGCTTGGGATGCTAGGGTTCTGGAAACCCTAGCCTGGGTGTATGTTGGGCCTGGACCATTGTGCGCTGTTGGGCCACGTGTGACCTAGTTTCGGGCCTATAAATGTAAAAAATGAGATTAATAATATTATTTATATATACATAATATAATGTCGAAAATCAGGTGTCTACAGCTGCCCCTCTTTGCTTATTGTCGTGTAACGAAAATAGAACAAATATTAAAAGACACAAATTTTGTCCCTATCGAATATCCTCTGTCGTAGAGTTGAAATCTGATATTAAGATTGGTTTGTCAATTTAAATCGCAAAATAACTCCCTCGTCGTGAGGTTGAGTCGAAAATGGAAAATTCTGAGCACAAAATCCTTCGTCGTGAAGTTGAAATCAGACTCAAAGCACTTGGCGAGTGGTCTCTGGATCATCTTCTGGCTCAAGATACTTCAACGTCAAGTGAAACTTGACCTGAAGACTTCGGTATGGCTGTGTTACGATGACTCATTCGTCGTGAAGTTGAGTCAATCCGTTAGTAAAGTTGGAATTGTATATGGCCCATTCGTCGTGAAGTTGAGCCTGGGAATTGGATATCCTTCGTTGTGAAGTTGAAATCCAATGTAGGTTGCGTGGTTTCGAGGCCAATATCCTCCGCCGTGAAGTTGAAATTGACTCTGAAACTGAAAAGTTTATTGACAGACACTCCTTCTTTGAGTTGGATATCCTTCGCCGTGAAGTTGAAATCCAATCTAGAGATGGATGTTGCTTGTGTGTATGATTCCCTTCGTCGTGAAGTTAAAACCGCAGGTGGCCCCTTCGTCGTGAAGTTGAAATCTAAGTATTGTTCCAAATCCAATATCCTCCGCCGTGAAGTTGAAATTGGTTCTGGAACTGGGAAATTGTTTGTTGACAGTCAGCCGCCCATTCACCGTGAAGTTGAGCTTGTGTTGTCTTGAGTCTAATATTCTTCGTTGTGAAGTTGAAATTGACTCTGAAAGTTGTTTGTTTGACAATCAGTCGCCCATTCGTCGTGAAGTTGAGCTTGTGTTGTCTTGGGTCCAATATCCTTCTTGTGAAGTTGAAATTGGTTCTGAAATTGGGAAGCCCCTTCGTCGTGAAGTTGATCCCCGAATGGCACGATATCCTCCATGGTGGAGTTAAAATCGTGGATGTGTGGGTACGATATCCTCCGTAGTGGAGTTAAAATTGCGGATGACCCCTTCGTCGTGAAGTTGAGCCTTGACTTGAATATCCTCCGTTGTGAAGTTAAAATCCAAGTATTGTATGTTGCGGGTGGACACGATTCCCTTCGTCTTGAAGTTAAAAACGTGGATGACCCCTTTATTGTGAAGTTTAGCTTCGAGCTCGATATCCTTTGTCGTGAAGTTGAAATCTACTCTCGAGCAAATTATGTCGTTTCGAGTCCAATCTCCTTCGTTGCGAAGTTGAAATTGGCTCTAGATAAAACTGAAAAGATATTCATATATGCGATGTTATGGATGCAATGCTCTTAGGTATGCCTAAAATGTATATGCAACATATGTTATTCCGGGAACTGGAGAGAAATCTCGATCTCTGGTTGCCTGTCGTGTTGACTCTTGATTTTGGAATCTAGAAGTTCTGACTCCTAATCTTGAATTCTTCAAATGTTCAAATTTGATGTGCACATTCTATTTGTTTCTTGATTTGGGAAATGCTTCTCGACCATCTCAAGTATGTGCATGAGCCTCGGCTTTCGGATACCTATACTTTTCAATGAATCTTTGTACAATAATATGTGATTATCTTTTGCATAAGTAGATAAATCATTGAGTTTAAGCTCAATTCAAGATGCTCAAAAGGAATTGATTTAGAGAAAAGATC